GAGCAGCAATACGGCCAGTGTGAACCTTTTCGGGATGTTTCTTTTCAATAAAATCAGTCACTTTCTGATAAGACCTCAAAATTTCCTTTATCGAGCGAGATCCTTCCACGACGAAGCAAACACGCGGACTGAGACCAATGAACAGAAGTGAATAAAAAATGGCGCTGCTAACTAATGTAAACTCGTATGGTGAGTTTTTGTTCGTATCGTGGAGCAAAAATATGTTCGAATTTCATCTCGTATCCTGAAAATTTCGTATGCTGGGACGTTCGTATCCTGAGGTACCACTTGGTAAAGGTTTATGTTGTACAGTGAAACGTATTTTTCATTCTCACATATTTCATAAATAACAAAAATTGAGAGTCTAAATTTTGTGATTTTCTAATAAAATAAAAAGAACTAGATAAAACATGTTGAGGCAATAAGAGGGAGAATATCATCAGTTGTCATTAGTATGGAAGAAAATTAAAACAGTTTGTATTTTGACTGAAAAACACACGTAAAGGATTGTTTATAATATACCGAATTATTTTTCCAGCCAAGATTTTACAACGTTTCAGTTTCTAACAAGTTAGATACTACGACCTCAGTTTTGGATCCGTTTCAAATGGATCCAAGCGTTGAACGCGTGTTAAGTATAAAAGAGTAATTGTTCTTACACTAAAAAAAATTAGAATATAACTTTCGCTACTGAAACTTTTCTCAGTTGTTAACTTTCTTTATACACTACAAGTGTTAAATAAGTTTTTATTTCCAAATTTATGAAAATATATTTTCCATTTATACTATAAAACATTTAGTCAAAAAGTAAGGCTTGGATTGATTGCCTTATGGCAACGCCACACGAGTGCAACCTGCAAAGAGGGATAAATAATTAGGTCAACACGAATAAACTTTTATTTAGTTATTTCATTTTTCTAGGTGCAGGGGATTGTTTAAAAATATGAATAACCAATGAACGTATTGGAAAAATGAAAACAATTAGATGCGAGGTTAATTTTATAACGGTGGCCGAAAGACATAGAATCAAAATTTTTTGACGATGAACATAGTTTAAATGAATTTATATTTATTTGTATTAAAAATTTACGAAATTGTTTTTTCATTCTTTCAAGTTATTTGCTGTAACAAAAAGTAGAGAAGATTTAGTTGTACACCAAATCCTATGGAGATTTCACCATCCCATATTCTCTGAAATTGTTTTGCGTTCCTTCGCTAATTTTCAATGTCTTATTGATTATTGTATACCGATCCGGTCGATGTCTGCCCCTTCTCTTTTGGTTAAAATCACGAAAGAACTTAATACAATATAGGCCTAACTCGTCTT